AGGTGGATTCAGACTGACTAAGTGGATATCAAATGACAAAAATTTGCTTACTGCAATCCCTGCAGAACTGCGAGCACTGTCAGTGCGAAGCATTGGAGAAGAAGGTACCTTACCTACTGAAAGAGCACTGGGAGTGATTTGGGATGTCCAGAGGGACGCCTTCTTATTCAAGATCAAGCCAAAGGAGTTGGCGGATACACGACGGAAAGTCATCAGTCTTACAGTATCTGTATTTGACCCGATTGGTTTTTTAGCCCCGTTCATTGTCCGGGCAAAGATATTTCTTCAATCGCTGTGGAAACTTCGTCAAGGTTGGGACGAGAAGATTCCGGAAGAAACCCAGCAAGAATGGTCTGTTTGGCAGAAGGAACTGCAGAGTCTAGCAGAATTCTCAGTACCAAGGTTCTATCGCCTGGTTATGCTTTCTCCCACCTCAATTCAGCTGCACTTATTTGGTGATGCAAGTGAGACAGCATTTTGTGCTGTTGCATACTCTCGATTTGAGTATCCAGGTGGAGAGAGACAGTGCACCTTTGTAGCTAAGAAAACTCGTGTTGCACCGGTGAAACCACTGAGTATCCCAAGACTGGAGTTGCAAGCAGCAGTTCTGAGTGTGCGGCTAGCGCTAGCATGTATGATCCAGAAAGAACATGACTATGAGGTGTCCTCTACCTATTATTGGTGTGACAGCAGTGCTGTTATTGGTCAGATTCGTGGAGAGTCAAAGCGTCATCCTGCTTTCACTGCCAACAGACTTTCCGAAATTCTTGATACTTCAGAGCCGCAACAATGGCGTCACTGCCCTGGTAAACTCAATCCTGCAGATGATGGCAGTCGTGGCCTGAAGGCAGATTCGATTACTCCGAACTGTCGCTGGTTAAATGGACCATCATTTCTTCTACTGTTAGAATATCAGTGGCCTGAAGATGTTCTGAAGTCAATGTTTGCTCCTGACGTGACTTGTGAAGTACCCGAAGTACCAGGTGAAACCTTCATGTCAGCTGTGGATGGTTGGAAACTCAACCCTCAGTTTATCGACTTGTCTCGTTACTCGTCGTTTGTTAAAGTTTGTCCAATTACTGCTTATGTAAAGCGATTCATCGAGATTTGCAGGACAAGAAAAGAGAAAATGGAAATGAAGATTGGCCCGTTGGAGGTTCAAGAAATGAAGAACGCAAGATTGATGTGGATCAAGTCAGCCCAAGAAGAAGTGTTTTCAGCTGACATCTGTAACTTAAGTGGTGGTAAACCTGTTGGAATGGAAAGTCGCTTGAGGACGTTGACCCCTTTCTTAGATGAAAGTGACATCCTTCGAGTTGGCGGGAGGATCGACCGTGCAGCAGTGTGTTATGATGTCAAACACCCAATAATTATTCCTCAAGATCATCAGCTGTGTCGTCTTGTGATCATGGATTGCCACAAGAGGCTTAACCATGAAGGCACAGAGCACATTCGGAATGAGCTCAGATTGTTGTATTGGATACCACATTCGAGGTCTACTGTGAGAAAGGTCCTTAACAACTGCTCATTATGCAAGAAAAGAAGAATCAAGCTACAACCTCCTCTGATGGCAAGCCTCCCGAAAGATCGGTTGCAAGTGGCTGCACCCTTTTCTAAGATTGGTGTGGATTATTTTGGGCCAATCATGGTCAAGTACTCGCGTAAGCAAGAAAAACGCTATGGATGTCTCTTTACCTGTTCAGTTACCAGAGCTGTCCACATTGAGGTGGCTAGGTCGTTGGAGACTGACTCATTTATCAACTCGCAGAAACAGTTTATTGCAAGACGTGGGCCACCATCAGACATTTATTCTGACAATGGTACTAACTTTGTCGGAGCCAATCGAGAGCTCAAGCGAAGTCTAGAAGAGTGGAACCAGTCTCAGATCTCAGATTACCTGTCTCAGAAGGATATTCATTGGCACTTTAATCCTCCTGCTACCCCCCACTCTGGTGGGATTTGGGAACGCTTGGTTCAGTCCTGTAAAAAAGCCCTCGAAGTGGTGCTTCATGGTCAAGTAGTTACAGATGAAGTTTTGGAAACTGCGTTTGCGGAAACAGAAGCTCTGGTAAACAGTAGACCTCTTACTGAAGTGAGCAGTGACAGTGGATTTGAAGCAATTACTCCGAATCATCTCCTTAGTTCTCCTGCTGATCCAGTGCTGCCCTGTGGCGTATTTTCTGACAAGGAAACATCCAGCAAGAAACGTTGGAGACAAGTACAAGTTATGGTTGATCAGGTTTGGCGCCGATGGCTGAAAGAGTATTTGCCTACCCCAACTGAAAGGAAAAGGTGGAATTTGCCATCGTACAACCTCGGTGTTGGTGATTTCGTCTTGGTCGTGGACGAGAAAACCCAGAAAGGAGATTGGCCCCTTGCTCGCGTCACAAAGATCTTTCCTGGGAAGGATGACACAATCCGTGTTTGTGAAGTGAAGACAAAGTATGGTCTGTATAAGAAGCCTGTCGCGAATTTAGGGTTAGGGAGCTTAAGATACAGACGTTTTCGGGGCGACGGCGACGTGACAACCCAGGTAAACTGGGTCAGAGGTTGCCGTTTTCGCGCCATAATTGAAGTTGTTAAGATTCTGATGACGGTCTGCCTTTGCGACTTTTTCGAAGTTCGTCGAGTTTCGCTTTATAAATTGAGGCTTTTTGTCGTAGCATGGTTATGTTTGAAGAATTCCGCCACCTCCTCGTCCTTTACTACGACGCTAATCTTATTAGCGATGAAGAGTTCTTGGTTTTTTAGGATATATTTCGGTCTAAAAACCCTAATTTTCCAAATGAAAATCTCCATAGATCTGAGGTGTACGTTTTCCAGGTGCATCTACGAATTGATAAAGGGAATGGCAGCAAGCAAAAATTCCCTTTTATGTTAAGAATTCAAGTACTGTATGCGTAAGTGCCCAAAACTTACCTCGACGATTTGGACTTCACTGTGTTGGCTCGGTCACTTTAACCTAAAGAGAGAAACAAAAGGTCTCCTGAGTTGGCCGAGACATCGTGTGATGATTTGTGCGAAATGTGATAATGCAATCACTTAAATATATTAAATAAAACAAACAAGATCAACTCACGTTTTCACCGCGACGGCAAACTCACTGATCTGACGTCGCCGACGTGAGGGCGACGGCGGGGCCGCATGCGCAGTCAATCTCGCCCCAATCTTAATCGGTCTCCACGTCGCCGTCGCCCCGAAAACGTCTGTATCTTAAGGTCCCTATTGTTGGAGGAGTGTCCACCGTAAAGGATTACGTGAACACTGGCGGGAGAATGTCGCGACTATAACTACGTTGTTTTAGTTCAATTTGTACGCTTTACGTACCTATGATTGACATCATGTGATAATGACGTAATTCGAGACCTCGTGGTGTTGTTGTTGTTTTTTGGTTTTGGTTTTAGTCGCTATTTTTGGTTAATGTAAAGATTCGTTTGGAATCAAAATACAGTTCTCACACATCAAAGTATGTTTGGTCAGTGAAGTGATCACTTTAGGTGACAGAATATTTTCACCCCAAAGCCGAAAAGAAGTGAAAAATAGGAAGAAAATAGTGAAATAACAAAAAATTGCACTGGCTAAGTCCTAACCTCAAGCATCTTGTCACGCGAATCACACGTATCAAACTTCCTTTTAAACCTAAGCACAGTTTTTCCTCCACTTTCCTCAAATCCTGTCAGTTTGTAGTCTTGTTGTTCATCGGCAGGCGGAAGTTTTTCCTCATCTGCAGAACGATCCTGTAACGAAATGAAAGGTAACTACAGTAGAACCCCGGCAATTCAAACCTCCCGCTAACCGCTTAGAATTTATGTCTGTCGATATAAGTCAAAATTTCAAACATAGCTGACTGACACACTAATCTCTCATGAAACAAACTAATTAAAATGTACGAAGATGACTGTTGATTGTGCAAGAACGGTAAAAACGTGATTTCTTATTGATATCTAACAGAATAATTGAGATTTAGCACCAGTCCCGATAACTCGAACCCCCACTAGCTCGAACCATTTCTCGTCGAGTTAGCGGGGTCTTATTGCATATAGAAAAATTCACAAAACTAGAGAAGTACGTTGTAATTCTACAAGCCATGAAAAAGTGCGTCCCATGCAAAATCAATCTCTCGACATAATTGGTTGAACTACTTTCATCGCTTTGATAATTCCATACTTCTAATTCATTTTGTCGGGAGGTGAGGAGATGGGAGTGCATTACACAATTGGACTGTCGTAGTCAAGTGATGATGACGGGAATTAATTAGGGACAAATCAATTAGAGAACTTGATTAAACAAATTCCGTAAATACATGGAGAGTTGGACGTATTTGACATCGCCAATAGACAGGGGCAGAACCCAAAATCTGTACTATAGCACGATGATGTCGACGCGAAACGATAAAAATTCCCCTGCTCTTTAATCAGCTAATCAGCATTGTTATAACTTCGTTGGAACACTGTTTTGACCTGGCCTGTTTGGGCAGAGTACACAGTGACAAAGGAAGAAATGCTAATTTTCAGGGTCGTAACGACGTATGTGGATTACATAATGATCCCAATTTTCATACATATTCTGTGATCCATGATCCCGAAATATTTAATAATTGAAAGTAACATGAAAGGAACGATCCCTTTACACTTCACGCCACCATTACGCAACCGAGACAGCTCAGGAGAAAAATTCCTCATTACATTCCTCATTAAAGCCATTTTCAAAACAGTTGTTTGTTTTCAGTGAGAAAATATACCTGATACACGAGGCAGCAGCCAAGATAACTGTGTTATGATTCCATCGTGGAAAGTTCATTTACACGGTTATTTTCCGTACTCGTTAAAAGTGGTAAACTGAAATGACCAGCGAATATAACCGATTAGAGATGCGATGACACCTGAGAAACCTCATGTAATATGTGTCATACACAACCCAACGATTGGTGGACATGTCACACCAGATAGATATATTTAATATTTAGCACAATAGTTAGCTCCCATTCATTCCAGTTCTTTGCTGCAGGGTCAGTTCAAAAATCAAACGACCGTGTACCGTTTACGTGTTCTCAGGGTTTAAGCTGCTCCTTCGACTTGTCGAAAGTGGTATTGATCCCAGATTCTGCCTCTGATCCCTGATCCCTTGTAATTTTAAGCGCATGGGACGGACAGGACGCGAAGTGCTAAGGATCAATGAGCACCTCTCATGCTTTTTTCGATCCTAGCGCTCGATTTATAATTAGACTATCCCTTCTTCTTTCATTAAGTTTGTCGTTTAAGGATGGAGAATAACATTACAAAAATGTGCTTATCTCTAATATATTTACAAATGGTTGCGTTACCTGAATACCTGCTTAGATTTCTTTGATCTATGGTGTTACAGCTCTTTTCATTGTTGTCAGAAGAATTTTCTCGTGGCGTGCATGCAAAATCCTCGTATTCGATGGCAAGAAGAATTCATTAGCTTGAAGTAATTTTATATCATATTTTCCCAAATGTTGTTTGTTACATTTCGTAGACGTCTGCGCCACATAGCTACACAAATTCCTTTAACCCTTTGGCCTGTTCAGCGATCTGTTGTCTCCAGGGTGTATTGGGCATTCCACTGCCACGGTTTTAAAATATCGATAAAGGCAGGATGAACGGGCAACTTTTGTAATCTGGTTCAATTTTGTATTCTCGCTCGATTGCGTGACAAAAACAACTGAAAAAAACACCTCCCAGGCCGGCTAACTCACATTCACCTTTGATGATACTCTTACCTACTTCAGTATTACAAGATTCATATGGTTGAATCTTCTCGAATTCGTAAGAAATGTAATAAAATGCGGCTACGCATTGATGTAGTGGGAGCTTTACCAAACGAGTTACAAATCCAAACATGCTTCTTTCCTTTAGTCCGAAATGATAATGAAAAAGACTGACATCCTTACCTTAAGATATCCATCATTATTCTTCACCCAGTCCATCACAAGATCCCTACCGATCATAGCTACAGAGCGGCCGGAGAATCCAAATCCAATCCATCCTGTGGTCGCCGCCTCTACGGCGAAAGAAACCATTTTTGCGTCCCAATCGACGGTACAGTACAGTTTCATTTTTTCTGCTGGGCCCAGGACGGCTTGATGAGCAAACTGCGAAGACAGATTAGCAACTACGGTCGAATGGATTGAAAAGAAGCAAAGGAGAAGAACTTGTGGACCCGCCATTTGGATAACGTTGAATTTCCTTTGTGTACCTTGCGTAAATTTTCTTAGAGTCAGGTTACTCAAGAGTTCTTGTGAGTTGTGAAGAAGTAATCCGATTGGTCCAAATTTTATGCGCCCACTCAGTGGTTATTTGGATTAATTTCTGTAGGGAGCTACTTTCTGCGGCTCTCTGTCCACCAAACAGGACATCATTTACTAATGAATCACTATTTCGGTTGTTTGCTAAGTTACGGGTCACTCCACTCACTCCAAATATTTCGCTTTTTGTCAAAACAATAATCCAAGTTCAACCCCCTGCCTACTCCCCTGGAGTTTTTTTGTTTTGTTTTGTTTTGTTTTTTGTTTTTTTTGTTTTTGTTTTTTTATTAACTTACGATAATAATTGCTTCGGGATTTATTATTCGAGGACTTAGATCTGCGGAGCGAGGACAACCTTAAAAATTCGTAAGTTAGAAGCGACATCTTTTTCATGCTACACAGTAAAAGATTTGCAGTTAGTGTCTATGATCCTCAGTCGAAACAATATGGCAGTCCTGATGTAAGCCCTATGAATTCCTAAATGGCGCAACTAGACACAGTCTACCAATCTAGTAAGCATTAAGAGATTAAAGAGATAAAAAAAAGTACGCCTCACTCATCGGTCAATCCGCCCTTCTGAATCTGTTCGATCAATGTAAAAAATCCCGCAAAGATAACAAGAGTAGTTCATTAATTAGATTATCCTTAGGAACACAGTGCTCGCGTCAAAAAATTAAAACAAAAAATGTTTTGTCTGGTTTCTCACACTTTTTACGGTTTTACAGAGTGTGGACGACAGGGATCACAAAATAAATTATATGTTAGCCTTATCGTTCTCTCCTCTAAACATCGTTTTTCGCTATAATAGAAATAGAACACATTTTCCCTGGTTTTAGAAAGTGATAAATCCACTTTGCATGCCGACAAAACACTCGAAAGGATTGTAAATCTTTTCTTGCGCTCTCCCAACATCCTTCGTATGCCAAGGACGTTTTTAATTAAAAATACAAAACCTGGGAAACTGTGTTCTATTTCTTAGCAAACAAAAAGACAGCCGTAGTGATTTCACGAAACACGAAGTC